TAAATGGACAGATTATAATGTAGCCAATCTATAGTCATTCTTGAGAGGGGGAAGAGTGGAAAGGAGACAGGAAACATCCTACACACCAAGTACAGCAGCCCAAATGAACCTGTTTCTGCTGACAGCAGCTTTGCTCTGAGAAAAAGTGTTCTAGTACTTCCAACTAAATGTCATGGAAAAGTGGCTTTTCAAACACAGATCACTGCTTTATTTTTACTTTTGTTTCTCTCAAAGAGAAAAACTGTGTGGGACTGCTGAAAGCTGTTGTACAGCTCTTTTCCAAGCAAAATAAGGCTGTCTTTAAAAGCCAAAGTAGGTTAGATCTCAGAGGTAGGTTTCTAGTTCACATCCTTGTTGCCTTTCTGCCACTTTTGCCTGAATGGTGAATTTGTATCTACAAATGAAGGAATTGACTGCATCAGCAGCTCTTTTGCAGAGGTAAAGGCCTCTGCAAATGTAGAAGGCCAGAGTAAGTAGAATTGTGTGGTGAGGGCTTGGATAAAGGCTGAGACCCCTGTGATGGGGTTGGTCTACCCTTCCATAGCCCTGTGAGCCACACAGGCCCTACCTGATTACTGTTCTGGAGGCTGGGCAAGCAAAGAGCAAAGACAACATGCAGTGTAAAGGACAAGTCAGGGTCTCCACAGAGACCTGTCTCTTGCCCCAGTTTTATTTAATTAATGTTTATTGTTCAGGGACTGCAAAATGTTGCCTGGGCCAGCCAGTGGGCAACACACTTGGCTGATGCCAGCTGTGAGAGCCACAGCCTTGCCATGAGGGGCTCAGTGCTGGCTTCTGCACTCCTGGTCTGCCCGAAGAGTAGAAAGTCCTGCAGCAGGGCTGCCTGGAAAGCCAGGAGATGCTGAGCATCCCTCTACTTCCTCCACCCCATGCTGGGAAGGGGTCTCCTCTCAGAGAGGGTGGCAAACACCAGCCCAGCTGCGCAGGCAGAAACTTTCCTCTGACATAAATCCCGCCAAGTATTCTCTGAAAGTCAAAATTAAACGCAAGGAGGCAACGGAGCTGAGCAGCCCTTCCTGGTGGGAGAATCCACCTGTAATTTCTGCTTCGCTCTTCCAAGCACTGCAAACCAAGCTCGACTTCTCCTTTCCATCTCCCTGCCCCGATAACCCGCAGCGCCGCTCGCATCCGGACACACGGATCCGCCTCGCTGCGAGACCGCGGGAAAACATTCCAGCCGGGCGCTGCTGGCTCCGCCAGCTCTCCCTACGGCTGCCAGGCAGGGAGGAGATGTTACCCCTGCACAGACACAGGGTTCTGCTAGAGAGAAAAGCCCGCACTCACCGCCAGCGCTGCCTCTGCTCCCCGGCACGGATGCCCGCCCTGCCCCAGGCGCCGCTGTTTATATTTCCCCCTGCCCGCGCTGCAGGAAGCAGGCGGGAGCCGGGATTTGTAGGCAGCCAGCTGGCAGGCACCGTGCCCGGGCCAGCCTGCATTTCCCAGCTGGCATTGCATAGGATCACGGGCACCTGGGGCTGGCTCCGGACACGGCCGCGGTCACCCTGCGGAGGGGGCTCGGCGCTGTTCCTGCTTGCGGAGCCCTCTCGCTGCTTGTGCTTAGGGGCTGATCGCTGTCCGCAAGCCGGGATGTCTTATTTCTGCAGCTGGAGTATTTATAGCGTGCCTCTAGTCCTCTCATTTCCCAGCCTTTGAATGGTTGTATTTTTGACTGAAAAAAACGGGTACCTGGCCGAGAGTAACTCATGGCATATGCAGGGATGCGGGGAGCAAAGGCAGAGCGTGGCTGGGTGCAGCGCATTTGCAATTTTACTGCAATGGTTTTGGGTCTCTTTTGCCTAATCTTCTGAAAGCCCTGTCTCACATGCTGTCCTGAGCAAGGTTGATTTTGGGGCTAGGATTTTACTTTTCTGGTTAGGCTGTGTGGCACCCAGCCCTGTGGGGCTGATGGTGCCAAGATAGTTCAACACCCCTTTTCTGTCCAAGAGTGTGACTGTCAGGGATGCAGGGGGGAGAGGATGACAAGAGGGGGGGGCTGACACAGGACCATCCTGTAGTTTTTCCTTTGCCCTGCTGCTGGAACAAGTTTCACTGAAGCAGGCTGCCCAGCCTGGCTCTTGCCAATGAGACCAAACTCACCTGCACTAAGGCTGAGCACTTGTCCCCCTGCATGACACCAGGCTATCACCAGGATCACCAAATCTCCTCCCAAAATGTGGGAAGCCACCAGGGTCGTGTGCAGCTTGGTCTCACTGAAATCATAGAATCACAGAATGATTTTGGTTGGAAGGGCCCAAAAGATCATTTAGTTGCAACCCCTTCCACCATGGGCAGGGGTGCCACACACTAGATCAGCTTGCTCAGAGCCCCATCCAACCTGGCCTTCAACTCTTCCAGGGATTAGGCCACAACTTCTTTGGGTAACATGTTCCAGTGCCTCATTACCCTCTGAGTAAAGAATTTCTTCCTAAGATCTGAATCTCTTCTCTTTTAGCTGTCTCTAGCAAAGAACCTGTTGAAAAGGCTCCTTATGTGCTCAGCTTTTAGTGTACATATGCAGACCCCTTTTCGCTGGAGGATTTTAATATTCCCTGTTCCCCTGCCCTCATAATGAGTTTCTGTTGTGCATCCCTTGGGGTTTCCAGTTTAGAGCAAAAAGTTTCCCCAGAGGTTTGCTGCAGCATCATTCCTGCATCATCATTCCTGCATCTCTTGCTCCTGGAGATGGTGCTTTTCTGAGCAGCAGGAGTGCAAGGCCCTTGTGAGTGTGACTTTTTTTTGGGTGGCTGAGGGGCAGCCCTAGGCCCTCTCCTGTGGCTAGGTACCCGCTGTGGAATGCCTTTGTGGCCATGTGAAAATCTGGAAGGACTGGTGAGTTAGGGTGGTGGGACAGAGCTGGGACAGGTCTGGTTTCTGGGAATCTCCTCCCATCACTACACCAGCCACTGGGCACTAGCAGTTTTGCAGTATTGCTCCCTGCTGCTGACACCACCCCAAATTTACGTGGCGATAAGGCAGGTTTCGGGCAGACTTTGCTGAATTGGCAGCAAGGGAAGAAGTTTACAAGCATAAATTTAATGCAATGGAAGCTTGTGAAATTGCTTCTGGCTGTGTGCCTGGTGCTTCTGTTGGTGCTGGAGGATGAAACCACCCAAGCAGTATCCCCTTGCCCAGTCTGTCCTCCCTGCTGTGTTGCAGCAGAGCATTCCTGTTCATACACACACACATTTTGCAGGCCCTCACACAGTGCAGGGATAACTCGGAGAAGCGAATTTCCCAGTGCATGGAGCTGGGCAGCAATGCCCTCCAGCTTCTTGCAGGCAGGAGGGCAGGTTTTGTTTCCTGGTCCAGCAGGGAGTTCCCTGCTGGCTTTTCACCTGCATGCACACTGCTTGGGTCAGCGGTGAGGTGGGGCTGGCGGAGCTTCTGGGGCCACCTGGCTCCTGAGCTGGCAGAGCAGACTTTCCAGTTTTGGCTGTGCACTGCAGCCACCATCCCTTCTGCTCCCTCAGCGGCGTGCCCAGTGGGCTCCCATCTCAGCCCACAGCATGCCCCTGTCACACGTGGTGGCTTGACTGGAGCCTGCGCAGCAGGGAGGGGAGGCTGACACTGGGAAGGATACTTGTTGGTAAGTCTGGATTTGGGAACCCAGTCAGCACAGGGTGGGAGATAGAGCCAGGGTTCCCCCAGCCCCTTTTCCAGGAACACGGATGCTCGATGCTCCAGCAGACTGCCCACTGAGACTATGCCTCCTGTGCCAGAGCGCAGCAGGGCTGTCCCCATCGTTCCTAAGGTGGTGGCTTGGTTCATTCTTTGGGGTTGGGATAAAGGTTTTTTTTAAACCAGGGTCAATGTTAGACTAAAGTGACCCAGCCTGTGGCAGGCAAAATGTACTGGCACTCCCAACTGTGTGCTGGGTGGATGCCTGCTCACCTGTGCTGTCCTGTCCACTGTTCACTCCAAAGCTGCAGCCGGCACCTCTAAAATACCTGAGCGATGCTTGGGGTGTCCAATGACACAGAAGTCCCAGGTGGTCCCAGACAAGTAATTTAACCCACACCTCGTTGTCCCGGCAATGATGCCACAGGGGTGACAGCAATTCCCACATCTCTCCAGCCCCCTGCCCACGTGCAGCAAGGTACACTGCTGGAAAAAGAAAGGCTGCTTGCTGGCTTTACGGGCTCAGCGAAGTGCAGACGTGGTTTCCTCCTCCCTAGGAAGATCCCCATGCAAGGAGTACCTTGGGATGGGCAGGGTGCAGGCAGAGTGAGGTGGAGCTGGCTGCTTGAGCAGGCACCCCCTGGAACGTGGGGCAGGAGGCTGGCAGCCACAGGCACATACCTGTCGCTATAGGACACGTGAAAGCACAACACGAGCCACCTGCTATTTTGCAAGGTAAAAGAGAAAGTTTATTTTCTGACTCCAACTTTTATACTTTTCCAAAGGTGACAGTGGATTGGAGAGTGAATGGGCCACCTCTCTAAAGACATTGGACAAACTACTAGTACATCAAGTTTCTCCACCCCCATGAAGGAATGCAAAACAATATGTTGTTTACAGAAATTGTGTGGCAAAGTTTTCCAACAGAATGTAAACTCAGAAGGCTTTAGAAAAACTTAAGAATCAGGGTGACACATACCTGCCAGCCCGGGCACCAGGGCTGGGTGCCACCCGTGCCCGGTGGCTGCAGACCCGCTCACCGCGCAGCACAGCTCCGGGCACACCTGTCCCGCTGATGCGAAAGGAATTTGGCTATGAGGAAGTGTTCATGCTAGAATAACAGCTTTGCCGTGGGGAAAGCAATGCTGTAAACCCATCCTGCTTTAAACTTGAAGCCTTCCCTCAGGCTGTGTCAGTGTTGCCCATGTGCACAGGCTGAGCCCCGAGCCGGTGTGGCCCCAGCCCGGTGGCAGCACTGTCACTGGCAAGGAGGGCACCAGACCCTGCTGCAAGCCCAGGAGCCAACCTGACCTCTCCTCAGCCCTGGACAGGAGGGACAATAGCCAAAAAGGGGTGTTAGCTGATGATGAGGCTTTCCTGGAGCTGAGCAAACCCTTCAGCTCACTCTTCCTGGCCGGGGGGAAGCCAGCACAAAATAGCCCTTGGTTTTTATCCCCTACAGCCAAGCGATTCCTCTTCTCAAAACTCCCTGGACCCCGCAATCTCTCTGCTTTCAGCAGGCAGACTTGCAAGGATATGAAGGAGGGCTGGCTGGCGCAGAGCCTTCCCTTCCAGCAGCTCCCTCCCGCTCCATTTCACATCTCATTGTCAATGTGGCCAAACTCTAATCACTTACCCTAAGCTCTATATTTTAATTGTGTTTGCTCTGATTAGGGTCCTGGGCTATGGGCAGCACACGTGCTACCGGAGAGGAAATCCCCACCCTGTTAAGTTTGCCTGTGTTCCCAGGCCACCCCAGATTAGCCATGGCAGTGGCAGCCAGGAAAGGCAGGACTACAGCCTCCCCACACACCAGCATCACCACCACGGCTTGGCCAGGCTCCCTGGACAGCTGGCTTAGCTGGATCCCGTGTGAGTATGGCGTCTCTTGCCCTCCTCTCCCAGGCAGCACTACCTGGTGGGGCTGCTGGACTCTGAGGCTGTGTATTCGCTTCACTCTCCCTTCAAATTCCATTTTCTAGTGGGTTCCATCAGGGTGGGATTACTGCAGAGTAGTACCACACTACTTCAGGAGCAGAGGGTATTTTTGCTACCCATTTGTGGAATGGTTTTCAGCCTCGGTCTCCTTGTATGGGGCCTACCCAGGATTCTAGGGGCAACTTTGAAAGTACAACTCCTTAATGCTGCAGCACCAGGAAGAAGTTTAAATGTACTCTGTATATTTTGCTTGGTTTTAACTCTTCTATCCAACTCTGCTCCCTGAACATCGCACCAGTACCCAAATGGGCGCTCATCACCGTGGCTGTGGCAGGGGCCATTCTCCTCCTTCTCTTCCTCGTCTGCATCATCAAGTGCTGCTGTACCAAGAAGAAGCACAAGAAGAAGGAGAGAATCGGCTTGTGCGCCATCAGCAACTCCACCACGATCAACCTTGTGCGTCCTGCCTTCCCCTCAATCCCACCTCCCTCCCCCCTGAGGGGTTTGCTGCTGCACTGCCCAGCCCCAGGGATGGTGGGAGCACGGCATGGCAGGGACATAGCTGAGTGTTGCTCTCTGCCACAGGTCCAGCCTGAGATGGAGGACCTGGAGCAGGAAGTAGAGCAGAAGCGGCGAGGAAAGCTGCAGTACTCCCTGGAGTACAACTTCCGCATGCAGGAGGTGGGGATGCTCGTGGCCGTGGCACAGCAGGGAAAAAGCCATGCTCTTGCATGGTCACTCTGTTCTGCCACTGAGGTGGACATGCCCTCTCCCACCTGCCTGCAGCCCACTAGCTCTCATGCCTGCATGGTGTCAAGGCATTCCTCGCTGTTGCACTCATTTCCCATTGAGCCCCCAGCTGCCTGACCCCATCCTTCTCCACCTGGTGACCTTGTGCCTCACTCCTCTCCAGCTGAAAGTTGGTGTGAAGCAGGCAGTTAAACTGAGGGCCATGGACAGCGGAAGCACATCTGACCCATATGTGATTGTCTACCTAACGTCTGATATCAAGAAGAGATACGAGACCAAGGTTTACCGCAAGACCCTGAACCCCATCTTCAATGAGACCTTCACGTTCCAGGTACAAACCAAAGCCAATAACGTTTTGTTTTTTTTTTTATCCCATCAAGAGTGTTGCACAGACACTGCTCCCTGCGCAAAAAATTCTCCAGACTGGAAGTAGCTTGTGCAATCAGGACTGGGAAATGTGAGAGAGGAATACCCTCATGGAGCAGGGCTGCCACTGAGGAGTGAGTCCAGGCTTTTGGATCCTCTCCTGCAGGTACCCCAGGCTGAGGTGTCTAAATGCACGCTGGTGATGCAGATCTATGACTTCAACCGCTTTTCCAGGCATGACATCATTGGTGAGGTTCGGCTGCCCCTGGCCAGTGTCAACCTGCAGCATGTCATCGAGCAGTGGAGTGACCTGGCGGTGGCCAGTAAAGTGAAGGTTGGTCCTGTTGGGTGGGAAACTGATAGGAGGGATATGTTATTGCTTGGTTTGCCACTGCCCCAAGAAGCAAGCCTTTAGGGGCAAGCATGAGAGTAGGGGAGACTCAGGAAACCTGGGGCCAGCCTGGTGCTCCAGCCTCAGGTGAGCTGGTTCCTCTGCCTGGTACTAATTAGTGGCATCTCTGTGTCAGGAAGAGCATCTGGGTGAGATCTGCTTCTCGCTGTGCTACGTCCCCAGCACTGGCAAGCTGACGGTGCTCATCCTGGAAGCCAAGCAGCTGAAGCGGATGGACTCGGATGGACTCTCAGGTCAGTGGGGGCTGCTTGTGCTCAGACCTTCCTACTCCTGCCCAGGCCTCAGTAGTGGCACCAAGAGCTGCAAAGCCTTGAAAACTCTTGGTGTTAAGACCTGCTTCCTGCTGCGACACCATATTCAGCCCTTGGCTGACTCTCAGCACAGATATTCCAGCTTTGGGTGGTACTGCAGGTATCTCCCAGGAGGAGATGTCATGACTGGATTGTACAGGGAGCTTGGCAGGAGAAGTGAGCTCTGAGATGGCTGTCTCACCATAAGGAGTGACAAGTGGGATACCATGGTCTCCTGTGGCTGAGTTCTTCAATCAAAAACTGTCACTTGTGCAAGATGTGCCCTCTCTCTCTTCAGATCCTTTTGTCAAGGTGCATCTCATACTGAACAGGAAGAAATGGAAGAAAAAAAGGACGAGTGTGAAGAAAAACACCTTAAGCCCTTACTTCAATGAGGTGTTTGTTTTTGAGATGCCTTTCAGTCAGATCCAGGTGGGTTTCCCTGAAGTTCCTTGAGCAGGTCCCCACTGCAGCAGACCTCTTCTCACTGACCCTCTTTCTTGTGTCTCCCCCAGAATGTGGACATGGTCATCTCCGTCTGGGATCATGACAAAGTGACCAAGAACGAGCCCACTGGCAAACTCTTCCTGGGCTGCCGAGCCACAGGCAGCCAGCTGCGGCACTGGTCCGACACGCTGTCCAACCCACGCCGGCCCCTCGCCCAGTGGCACATCCTGCAGCCCCCGGGCATGGTGGTCAAAGCCCTGGGACTGAAGTCCCACCTCAAGCTGCCCCTGCACTCCAGATAGTGGGGGTCTCCTTCTCCACCCAGGGGGCAGGATGATGGGCTTCTGGAAGAGTGAGGGGCTTCTGCTGAGCAAGCTCTAGACATGTTGGTCCCAGCTCACTGTCAGCACAGAGGGGACTGGGACTCCTTCTGGCCAGGAGATGATATGGCTGCTGATGCAGCTCGTGCTCTGTGTTGCACTAGGACAGGGCAGCTTGGCGTCCCAGGGCAAGGTTGGACGTGGAGCAGAGGGTGCTAGTGGGGCACAGGAGCCAGCTCATCCAACTGCTCATGGGCTGGAGGGGAAATACACAGAGCTTCAGGCTCATGCAAAACAGAGTCCATTGATATTTATAAAGCATGCTGGTGGCATGGGTGGAAAGTTTCTTTAGTTGTGAATACCTTGGCGAGAAGTGTGTTCATGTTTCCTGTGAAGGCTTTTAAACAAGACCAAGATATTGAAGAACATAAGAGGCTCGAGAGAAGGAATACAGGTGGATGGGGAAGGTGTTGGAGACATCGAGCTAGCTCTTTAGTGCCTCTCTAATGTGTGCTCTGTGTCCTGGCTAGAAACTAAATGAGAAGCAATGTGGCTTCACACTTAGCCACGTGATGATTTGTGCACACTAAGATGTGACTCGGGCTCTGGGACTCACCAGTGGCCATCCCCATGCACCACATGGATGAAGATGCACCATGTCAGCTCCTTTCACCTCACATGGTCCTACAGGAGTGGCACAGCAAGGTTTGCACCTCTGGCACCTGGAGGTCCTGCCAGGGTGGAGGGGCTGAGGCTCTTGCTTTCACACTGTGATCACACCACCCTGGTAAAGACTGGCTTGCAGCCCTCACATCACTTCTGGACAGGTTTCATGTTTAATCTGGGAGGTTTTTTGTGGCCACATGTCCTGCCCCACCCTACTTTGTGGGGCCTTGGTGCTGGGGCTGCGAAAGCAAAGATCTCTCCTAGAAGGATGAGGGCATTGGAGTGGTGCCGCTACATGCCCTTGAGTATGCTGCAGTTTGGGGTGACTCCAGAGGAGCTTCTCTGAGCCATCTGCAGGAGGAAGCTCCCTGCACTGGGAATTGCTCCTGTTCTAAAATCCTTCTGCTACAAAGCAGCAGCAGAACACAAGATCTGGGCTCATGCTGTGGAATTCTGGCCCCAAAGAAAAAAGTCCTTTTCACCACAGGGAGCTGCAGCTCAGTGCTAATAGCTATTGCCTGGACTCTGGAGGGGAGAGAGCCTGGCACATTAATGAAAAGCTATTAATATTAAAAAGCAGTTAATCTGTGATTACCCAGAGCTCCACAGAGCGACTATCCAAGAGTTAAACAAACATGAAGCTGAGGAAGATTATGAAAACTCTCTATAGAGATTAATGACCTAAGCTTAACCGTAAAAAGCTGCTGCTGTGGCTGCCTCTTGATGAATATTCTCCAGGCTTCGCTGTGGCTGTGAGGAGGGGAGAAATGACAGGGTGGTTTTGAGATGACTGTAACAAGTGAAGTGTGGCTTCTGCTGGGGAAACAGCATCTGCTGGCAGCCGCTAATGAGATGGAGGAGGAAATCAGTCACCTGAGAAAGACTTGTAAAGGGATGTTTTAAAGCCTCAGCCTTCAGTCTCAACATTAGAATCAACCTAGAACAGGCTGTGCAGAAGGAGACATCTCTGAATTGGGGTTGGGGTTCCAAATCTATTGCCAGGTTGGTTTTTGGTGATGCTGTTGTGATTTAGGGCTATGCAGCATCCAGAAGGGACTTTTGGAACTTGCAGTTCTTAATTTTGTGTGTGTATCTGTGCTTTTTCCAGTCCCCTTATTTTGAAGTCATGGCCTTGAGGTTCACTGCATAATTTATGGGGCTGGACATAAAAGTATGTGCATACCCAAAAGAGATGCAGTTGAAGAAGGTGCAGAGACAGCTCCTCCCTGAGAAACGTTACTTACTCCCCATTCAGTGCCTGCCTCTTCTCTCTCCAGCCTGGGCCTCGCTCAGTGCCTGGATGGCCAGCGCAGTGCTGGGTGAGCAGAGCTGCAGAGGGAAGCCCATGGTGCTTTTGGGGGAAAGGCTGGGGAATGTGGGAGTGAGCACCCAGCTGGGCTGGCTCTGGGCTACCTGGAGTGAGCCTTTGTGCAGTAAAACTCAGCAAACTGAGCTGTTTGCTCAGGAGGGAGAGACGAGCAGGTGGGGATGTTCTCCACCCAGCTCCAGTTTTTAATGTACCGCCATGGCTGCTTTTTTCCTCTGTCATCATTTCTCCATCTCAGTAAGCCTTACAACATGGCTTTGAGCACTCTCCTCCTCTGGCAGGATCCTCTTGGTATCTGCTGGCAGCTGTTTGAAGCAGGGCTGGTGGATCTGGGCTTCATTTCATGCCTTATTTCACCCCAAATGAGCACAGCCTGCTCGGGAGCCTGTTTGCAGCAAGGCAGACAGCCCTGTCTCCTGTGCAAAACCATCTCCTTTCCACCTCCCTGTGGCCTTGGCAGGGGTGCTTGTCCCTCATCGATCAAAGCCAGATGTCTGAGCATCTTCTGCCTCACCAGTGCTCCTCCTGCACTTGGAAGGTGGAAGATGAGACAAGAAGAGAAGTAAAGGAGGGGGAAAACCGACTCCTCCTCAGCTTTTGTCTGTGCTGTGTTCCGTGTCTGCACCTAGAGGGCAGGGCAGTACGTGCTCTGAGTTGGGTCGCTGTGTCATCTGCTCTGTGGTCCCCGTTAGAGCCTCACCAGCCACGATTCCTTCTTCTGGAGATGGAGCCCGTGTTCAAGAGGGAGAGAAAGCAGCGATGCTGCACAGCCCCTTGGTAGCCATGTGGCAATGCTGGAGGTGTCTGAGTGGCTTTTTCCAGGAGGCGACAGCCAGCCCTTGCCTGATCCTGCAGCACAGGGGCAAAGAGGATTTTGCAGGTATCCAGTCCATCCAAGGTGCCCAGGTGGTGGCTGGGGAGTTTATCTCTCTGCATTTAATTAGCAGCTTTGCAGGTCGGTGGCAAGGCAAAAAGCAGGGCTTGGGCCAAGCAGAGGTCTGATAAAAGAGAAAAGAACCACAGAAAATTGAGATATTTGTTATTAAGATTTATAATCTCAATTATTTACGTCCAGATCCAAGACTTCTGACCTCTAGAAGTCCCTCCCAAAGTTAATTATTCCCTCATTCAGTGATTTTTTTTTTTTTTTAATTTGTCCCTGCACTCAAGGAAATCAAATGGGAGGGCTGCACAAGGAGAAGGCTGAGCCTCATATGTGCTTGTCACCAGTCGTCTGCAGTGAGACAAAAATCATTATGAGTTGTCATCATTAGGCCTGGGTATGGGCTGGCTGTCCTCCAGCCACAGATTTTTTGGCTAGTCTTAGAGTTTTTGAGAGCTGGAGAGCATCTAAGCTCTTCTCACTAGGAGCAAGCATGCCTACCTTATAAATATTCCTTAGTTAGCACCTTTATGCCTTACAATTTTATGGGTAAAATGTGTACTTTTGTCATGCATGGGCTTATTTTTTTAAAGCTCCAGCTCCTGGATCCTTATCCCTAGTTCTCTTTCTCTATCCTCATTCTCCTACACTTTTCTCCCCCTTTTTCCTCTTCCCCTTTCCCAGCCCCTTTCCCCTGCTCTGACTGCTGCTGGGACTCTTGTGTCTGGGAGTGATCCTTCCCCTGGTTGGGCTTGTTTTGCTTCTGGATACAGAAATATTGTTTGGACCACTTTACATCTCAATGCACCTTGCCTGCCATGGGCAGGAAGGGAGGGGTAGAAGCCCCAGGCACTCCAGTCTGAGAAACAGGAATAATAATGGGTGCACAGAGCTGCTTCCCAAAGTTCCAATTTGAACTTTGTGGGCAGACTTGGAAAAAACAGACTTCTCATTTCTCCGTATTTTAGGTATAGGTAGGATGGAACCAAAGGAGAAGCAGCATGAGGATTGCATAGCTTTCATGCTGCTGGGCAAAAAGTGAATGGGTGAATGGGTGTCCATCAGTGATGACTTGTTGCATGTCAACAAGATGGGAATTTCTCAGCCAGCTTTGTTGACTTAACAGAGAGCTGGTGAAACCCCTGCAGGCACTTATTGCCACTCAATTGCAGAAACAAGCACAGTCAGTTAGGAAGAGGAGTTTAACTGAGCTGAAAAGAGACCTTGACCTGCAAACAACCCAACCCAGATAGTATTTTGCATTCTGTGAGTAGCATCTGGGAAGATGGTGGGTTTGCAAACAAGTGTTTCATCACCCTGCTTGTGAGCATGGGCATTGCAGATGTCCTTGTCTGAGCCTGAAAAGCTCTCTGTGGGAAATGGGCACTTTGAGTTGTGAATCAGTCATTGCTGACTTAGTAAAAGAAACATTGTGCCCCTGGAAGAGCCGGTGAAGAGCCCAGTGCCCATACAAGAGGTGGCTGTCTCACGTGGAAACCAGCCCAGCTGACATCTGGTTTTGCCCTGGATATAGAGCATTTTCCTCTTAACTTTTATATACAAGTCAGAGCAGTTTAGGCATAGAAGCCTGAATCTTGGCATGAAGGTTTTCACTTAACACAATCCAGTTAAAACACTTGGCTTTGGTGTTCACTCTGGATGTGACAAAAGATGTGTTCATACCTGCAAAGGCCTCTGCTGAAGGTTTCTCTGCTTTGGATGCACTCATCTCACACCACTCCCAACTTTTGCACATGTGAAACTCAGGCCTGCCTTCATAAAAGAAGGCAGATACTCTGTGAATTAATTGGCTTTGGGGATGTTCTTGAGAGATGCTCAGTGGTGTTGTGTGTTGAATTTTCCTGGCGCAGCCCTCTCCTACTCTGAGCTCATCCCCTCCGTTGCCAAACCTGAATGAGAAGCACCTCTGGAAGAGCCTCTAGAGGCCCATCTCCTTGCAGCTGCCTTCTCCCAAGGGTTTCTCAAAGTGTGCAGGTAGGTGAGGCTGCCAAGGGCCTTTGCAGCTAACAGCATTTTTTTTTTTTTTTTGTAAAATTAGGTGTCTGGGGTCACACAGTATTTATAAAAAGCCAGAGTGCTTGGAATAGATAAATTCTGGAGAATCATTCCTTGCATGGCTACTGGTTTGTAGAGCAATTGCTGACCTTGGGGAGAGAAGAGCTTTGTGATTTATCAATTTTTCTTGAGCTCTGTGGCCTTTTTCAAACTAACACCATGTTCTTGCTGCTGCTTTTTCTTGGCACAGAGAGCCTGAAAGACCTTTTGAGAGCAAAGACACGTTTCAGCCATACTCATTTGAGCACACAGAGGTCTCAGCTTGTTCTCCAGACACGTTCTGGCTCATACCCTGGTCTTAACCAGGCTCTGAGGATGTGCATACACATGAAGGATTGTGATCAGGTGTTGGGTCACTTCGGTAATACTATCCAGGGGCAAGCT